GTGTTTGGTAGATTAAACAAGATAAAATAATTTAAAACTACCAAATGAAGGACTCAGATTAACAATAGTGAAGGAATTCCAGATTGAAGTTGTTAAGTGAGGGATTTGGATTATTAAAAGTAGAGTTTCCTTCTATGGAAATGTTTTTTTTAAAAACACATCTTCTGAGTTTAGAATCTTTTTTGAATGACTGGATGACTTTACAAGTATCTATGTAGGAAATGCAGGAGAACTCACTGCTGAGAGAGGATAAGAATTAAAGTCAATTTAGCTAGAGCTACACCATTCCAGTTTGGTAGCCACTAGCCATGTTGTGGCTATGAGCCTTTGAAATATGGCTGGCCCAAATTTAGGTGTGCCATAAATGTAAAAGACGACCAGATCTCAAAGACTTAGTACAGAAAAGAAACATATTTATAATTTTAATATATGTTAAATATTACTTTGGATTTATTAGATTGCATAAAATATGTTATTAAAATAAATTTTGCTTATTTCTTTTTACTTTTTATAAATGTGGCTACTGGAAAATTTTAAATTATGTATATGGCTCACGTTATACTTCTGTTGGACAGTGCTGATCTAAAGAATAGCTCTGTGCAAGCTAACTCTTAAATTTAGATCCTTTTAAGTTTGGATATTGAGGTCAAGATTGCTACTCTCATACTAAGAATGTCAGAAGTCGTTTCTTCAATCCTATTTGTAAATACCCAAATTAGTTTTGACCCATGGTCACATTTACTTGTTGCAGAATTGTGGTACTCTGAAAGTGGCATCCAACTTTTAAAAGACGGTGTGAAGATGATATGAGGAATTCTTAATCTCAGGAAACAAACTGAGGGTTGCTGGAGTGGTGGGGGGTGGGAGGGATGGGGTGGGTGGGTGATAGACATTGGGGAGGGTATGTGCTATGGGGAGCGCTGTGAAGTGTGCAAGACTGTTGAATCACAGATCTGTACCTCTGAAACAAATAATGCAACATATGTTAAGAAAAAAAAAAGAAGAAGATGATAGCGGGAGGGGAAGAATGAAGGGGAGTAAATCGGAGGGGAAGACGAACCATGAGAGACAATGGACTCTGAAAAACAAACTGAGGGTTCTAGAGGGGAGGCGGGTGGGGGGATGGGTTAAGCTGGTGATGGGTATTAAAGAGGGCACGTTCTGCGTGGAGCACTGGGTGTTATGCACAAACAATGAATCATGGAACGCTACATCAAAAACTAATGATGTAATGTATGGTGATTAACAACAATAAAAAATTATTAAAAAATAAAAATAAAAGACGGTGTGAAGAATTCTCCTATCACAAGAACAACTAGTAGTAGAATGAATAATACTTTCCAGGAAACTTCTTTTTATTTATTTTTTTAAGATGTTATTTTTAAGTAATCTCTACACCTAACGTGGGGCTTGAACTCATGACCCCAAGATTAAGAGTCCGTCACATGCCTCAACGACTGAGCCAGCCAGACACCCCAGGAAACGTCTTTTTAAAAGACACCACCTGAAATGGTTTCCTTAACTCTTCCTTGCTTGAGGAACAGACTGGAGAGGTCGAGGCTGCAGGGAAGAGTTGCTTTACTGTTGGACGCCTAAGGTTCTTAGGAAACTGGTAGTGGCGGTGGTAGTACTCATATATAGCAGACTGATTTAATTTAAGTGTGTTTCTCCAATCACGGTCAGAAAACTAAATACTATCCATATTATTAGTACCCCTTTTAAAGGGAAATAAATGGACTATTATAGGTACATAGTTAAATATCAGGGCACTAAACATAGAAATAGATTATTTTTTAAACCTTTTAAATGTCAAAGATTACAAATACAAATACAAAATGAAAAGATTTAAGAACTGTGGAGAGAATTACCAGTTACTATGGACAAAGTAGTACCTTAAAACAGCCATGGTAACTCCGCCAGGGCACTCACAGGAATGTTCTGTGCTAGCTGTCTCAGAGCAGTTAATCACAACTTCAAATCATTATCACCTACTTTTGAATTCCTTGCTACTCTGCCTCATGAGTTGATTTGTAGGAAAATGCTATTTTTAGTTTGCTGTATCAGCAAGGACTTAATAGCACTTAATAAATACATCTTTAATTCATATTCACATCTAAAAACAAGCATTCTGAATTTAGCACTCCTGGAATCCATAGTTTGAATGCTTATATAATGCATTTGTGTTTTTCAAACCATGATTTTCCATTTGGGCTATTTAATATGCCCATTTAATCAATATTTGAATTATGGAAAATGGTGCCATAATTATCCGAGATGTAAACCATCTTTTGCATCATTGCCCTTATAATTTCAAATATCTTTTTATGTTGTTAGTTTTGTACTGTTCAGTGCTCTGCTTTTTAGTTCCTGAAATGCCAGATCCAGTGATGTTTAAATTGCTTTAGTCTTTGATGGGAGGGTCTGTAGCAATTCTGCCTTCATTTTGAGGGTGGGTAGATGATGAGAGACTAGGCCAGGAGCATGTTCAGCTGCATACCAAGCAGAAAGGCGCAGGTCTGGTGGGAGGGGTCTTTAGAGCAGCTGCTTCTACTTGCAGTCCTTTGGTACAAGAGATGTGGCACATGGCAAAATGAGTGTGGAAGTTGCAACACACTGTAGTTACATGAAAGGGGCAAAATTAAAAATAAACGTTAAAATGGGTAATAAAACTCCTGAGCTTTTCATAAAATCAGGAGGCAGAACATTCTTGAAGGAGGAGAGAAAAAAAAAAAAAAACTGCAGGTATCTGATTTATGTCTCCTGGCTTCAGCCTGGCTTTCTAGCACACTTGTCAAAAGCCTTCCTCACACTTAGGACTTCTCTGCACAAAATCCACACCTGATTCACACCTCTCCTCTCCTGCAGGACCTTCCCAAGCACTTTTGGAGCTGGAGACCATCTTTCATGTGCCTCTGACCTCTTCCTTTCCCACGAACACTGAGCCACCCTGCCCCTCAGCCCCGCAGTGTTACATTCTGCACACTCCTTCCATGCCCATTTTTTCTTTCTTTTTTTTTTAAGCTTTATTTATTTATTTTAAGGAGAGAGCATGAGCAAATGGGAGGAGGGGCAGAGGGAGAGGGAGAGAGAAAATCTCAAGCAGACTCCCCACTGAGCACAGAGCCTGATGCAGGGCTCCATCTCAGGACCCTGAGATCATGACCTGAGCCGGAAGAGTCACCCAGGCGCCATTCTTGCATGGGAATCTTACCGCTGCCCCCTGAAGGCAATTGAGTAGACTCTGCAGGTCCTCTGCATCATCTATGACGTGCCCCATTTCATCTGCAATAAGGAAGGCATTTGTAGAGGGTAACAGTCAGCTGGCAAGTGAGAGGCCCAGCACCGAGTTTCCAGCTGTAGATCCCATGGGCTTTTCATCACTGCCACTTACACAGTGTTCCCTTTAAAACAGCAAAAACAGAAAAATCAAACCTTCTTTGGCTTTGCTGTTCCTTTCCTACAGCCAGATTCTTCTAATTTGATCATGTCTAAACCTGGCATGGCATTGTGGAAGGACTGATGACTTTGGAGTTGGACAGGCCAGGGCTCAGACCTCCCCATTGTGGTAGCTATGTGATCTTGAACACATTTCTAAGCCTTAGCTTCCTAACCTGTAAAGTATCTACCTCATAGGGTTGTTGGCTCAGCAAGGGTAATGACTCTATTAAGTACTTAGCCCAGTGAGAAACATGATAAATTTTAATCTGTTAGGACATAATTGTCTCCTGCATACCGACTTCAAACCTGACCTCTCCACAGAATTTGATCTTGCCAAGAATGCTAATGGTCTTTTCTGGCTGACTCTTACAGCCTTTTCTTAGCCCTCTCCAACTACTCATGCCTTAATTCCCTCTATTCCGTTGACTTTCTTAATATTGTATTATTGATTCTTCCTTTTCCGGTGGCTTCTCTTTTGTCTAATTTACTGACTTCTTTTCCTCATTCTACCTGTGTGTAAGTCTTCCATGGTTCAATCTGCAGTGATTGCTCTTATTGACAAGGCTAAGTTGAATTAATAAATCAGAGAGGAAATAACATTATCTCTTTTGCTTCGTGTATTACATCCTCAGCCTTGGTTCTTCTTCACCTGTTTGCCTTCTACTTCCAAATATAAAAATGTCACATTAGATTTTATTCACCTGCAAACAGGTAAAACTCCAGCACTATTAACACAGGAAGGCTTTAGTTATCTTGTTTCATGTGGACATGGCAAGTGATACCTATGCCCAAAATGTGTTTGTACAATGATGACGATGATATGAACGGTCTTATTTTCCAAATAGTATTCTGTAACTTACGTAATAGTCTTACCTACATTGTCTGAATTTGTTCTGCTGAGTTATCAAAGTTTTATAGATGATGTAAAATAAATTTCTGATTTTGATGCTGGGTGGGAGCAGTGCCTTTACTGTTTAAATCGTACTATTTTTTGCCCTTTATTCCATATAATTTCCCTGGTGGGTATCTGTAAATGCTGGATTTTAGGCTAAAGAATAGACAACATATTCTTATCCAATTTAGGGAAAACTAAGAAAATGAGGTACAATTCAAAACAGCAAGTTGAGTTATTATCAGATCAAGAAAGTTATAAATTTTGAGACTTGATTACAAGAGTTTGGGGAAAGTATTTGTGCTATTTACATTTCTTATTAATAAAAGCTGGGGCACCTGGCTGGCTCAGTCGGCAGAGCATGCAACTCTTGATCTCAGGGCCATGAGTTCAAGCGCCACGCTGGGCATAGAGCTTAATTACTTAAATAAATAAAAATAAGAGCTGACTCTGTAATAGATATAGATAGATTTAGACTAGCAAAAAATGAAAAAGTTATATTGTCAGAGATTTTAAAGGGTAAAAAGTTAAGCTTAGCTTAAATGGGGGATTTCATCTCTTTAGTTAGAGAAGTCTTCATGTTACCATAGATCACATCCATTCATTCATCATTCACTCTGATTGTCTTTTGTTCTTACCTAACAAAGTATGTCCTGTGTTTGTTTTGCAGATCTAAAGCGGGAAGCCAGTATCTGTCATATGCTGAAACATCCCCACATTGTAGAGTTATTGGAGACATATAGCTCAGATGGAATGCTTTACATGGTTTTTGAATTGTGAGTGTACATTTTATTTTCTTAAGGGTTAAAGTTTTAAGCAGTGCTGGTTTGGGATAATGCTAACACTTCTAAAATGTAACAGTAGTTGTGAGCTCATCTGTTTAAGAAAGGTAACAAGAACAAAAGGATTATCTCATCTTAAGGTTCACAATGGCTAAGGAAGCAAAAGTTGGGCATATTTAGTTACCTTCGTTTTTAGTATACTTCAGAGAAGAGGCTGTAGAGAGAAAGAGTTCAGATGAATAACAGGCCCCAAAATATAAAATTCTGACCATAGGCGTCTTATTGAAGAAGACTGGGTTGGGAGTAGAGGTCTCCATGTAGCAAGCCTCTCTGGCAACTAAAAACAAGTAATAACAGACTTGACTTCCTATTTTGGTATAATTACCACATTGGCATATTAAGGAAATTCTGTAGATAACAGTGTGTTTGATTTTAATAAGGCACTTGACATGTTTGCCATATAATTTTTGTCATAAGATGGAGAAATGTGAGCTAAGGATAGTATAACTGGGTAGTTTGTAGCTAATTGGATGATTGTGTCCAAAGAGACTGTATAAAGTCTTATGGGATGGCATCCTATTCTTTCCAAAATTTTCTTCCATGACTTTGATTAGGGTCTCTCACAAGGTGGTAATCAAGGCATTGGCCAGGACTGGAGTCATTTTAAGACTCCACTGGGGATGGATTTGCTTCCAAGCTCACTCACATGGTTGTTGGCAGCAGCCTATTGGACTGAGAGCCTTAGTTCCTCATGAGCCATTGGCCTAGGCTTCCCTGGGTTCCTTGTCACCGGGCCTCTCCATATGGAAGTCAGTCTTGTAACCTAATTTCAGAAATCATACACCATCACTTCTACCATATTCTGTTAGTTAGAAGTAAGTCCCCAGATCCAGCCCACACATAAGGGGAGAGGATTACACAAGGGTGTGAACACCAAGGAGATACTGGTCATCCTTGGGAGCCGTGTAAGATGCTGCCCCCCCCCCCGCCATGGAGGGCTAGCTAATACATTGAATATCTAGATCAAATTTTTAAAATATTTTACAAGTTTGTAGCAAAGGAGCTGAAACAAAGATGAAATTTAAGACCAGTGAATACAAACTCCTTCAGTTATATAAGTACAGGATCACTATAAGCTTAGTTGTAACTGCTTATGTGAAAAAGATGTAAATGTTTTGAAAGGTAGTTGCTGCAGCAGCTTTAAATGGGACCTTTGGCTACATTAATTAAAAATATATAGTATTTAGAACCAAGCTGAGACTCCCACCGTATTGTATACTACCCCTTCTCCCTAGAGTGTTCATAGTAAGCAGGACACTGGTACGCTTCCCAAAGGCAATAACCAGAGTGGGAAAGAGCCTGTAAATTTTGCCCTAGAGTCACAGCCTTCAAAATTTTTGTTGACATACCTGCTAAAAGAATTTTGAAAACCATGTACCTCCTCACATACTTTTGAGTTGATATATAAAAACTTCTATTGTGAGGCTATCATTTTTAGTGGTCTGTGTATTCTTTTAAATATATTTTCCTCTGAACGGTAGATCAGCACCTTTATCTCATTCAATTTATGGAAAATGTCTGCTATGTGACCTAAATGGCAGAGCTAGTCATCATTGTCAAGCCAGTCAGCCAAATCAGACTCACTGTCAGAGAAAAATCTGCCTTCATTTTTCAAACAAAATTAAAGTGTTAATAGACATCCCTGTGACAGTCATCTTACTATTGATTTTAATTCTAAAATAGATAAGGCTTTGCCATGCATATATTATCTGGATGAAATAAAGTGGCTCTCCTCTTTCTTTCTGAAGCTCTGTTTTGCTCTCAAGTGTTTCTCTCTCAGGAGCTTTGCATCCCCTAGTTGTCTGAAGCTAGGCAGGCTTTTCAGGACGGGTGAGCGGTTCGTCTTTTGAGATGGGCTCGTATGAGTGGAGATGTAAAAGGAAACTCACCAGACCATAGACTTGTTTTCAAACAGATCAAATTATGGCAAGTGAAGAAATGGACACTGATTGCCTTCAAAAGATCCTAATTCTCCTATCTCCTGGAAGGACTTTGGGTACTCCCAGAGATTCCCCAAGTCCCAGTTTGAAGACCATGGAAGAGCTGTTGAAAAGACTGGGAAGCTTTAGTTACTCAAGAATCCATTGGTTTTCTTTTTCTGCCAAGAGAGTCCTCAGAACAAAGGCTGTGGTAAAACATACTGAAAGTCTTCAGTTATTTAAAAGGGTGTCATATGTAAGAGGATTATATGTTTGTCCAGTGTAGGGTCAGGGGCTGTAACTGGAATCAACAAGCAGCAGGTAGATTCCACCTCTAAGCAAGGAAAGCCCCTGTAGCGATTAGACTAAGTCAGTGAATGAAACAGGCTGTCTCACAGAGTATGCAGTTCCTCACTAGAAATGCTTGCACTCAAGCTGGACCCATCCAAGGAGGCTAAAGATAAGGGCTTAATTTTGGACTAGAGAGGGCCTCTAGTGTCCCTTCCAATTTTAAGATGTTATAATTCTTTTTTAATAACTTTCTCTGATTTATAATTTTATTCTTTATTCAAGAAACCTGTTTTCGTCTGTATTTTTATTCGCTGAGAAAAAAAAAAAACACAGTTTTATCATATACTCTCAAGTAATGAGCACAGAAAGCAAAATTTTAAGATTCACCTAAATTTCATCATGTTTGCTATTTGTTTCAAAGGGGTCTAAGTGACAGTACAGTAGAGAGATGATCTTTGGTGTTCTAAAACTTGAGTTACTATCCCAGCTCCATCACTTTTACTGATTATGTGACTTTGGCCATGTCTTCTAGCTTCTCTGAGCCAAGGCTGTTTTTTTTTTTTACCTTTAAAATCTTAATAAGATTATCAGAACTAGATGTGAATTCACTTTGTAAAATGGTGAAGCGCTCTACAACTGGAAGGTATTGTTTCCAGGGGATTTAGCAAGTTATAGTCTCTCCTGTTAAATTATATGAGATTTTATAGAGCTAATTTTTTGTGTGAGTCATTTGTCATTGAAATAATTCTTCAGTGGCTATATATGGAGATAAGACTTCATTAAAGTTGCATATCTACTGGTCACCTAATCTCAGTGTTAACCCAAATCACAAGAACGTGGCTTTATAATTTAATTTTCTGAACTTTTTGTTTTGGAAAATTTCAGATAAAAAGAATAGTGTGAACCTCAGTGCAGCTGTCACTGAACTTCAACAGTTATCAGCATTTTGCCATTCTTGTTCTGTGTGTCCTTTACTGTTACCTTTTCTTTTTTTCCTGGTGATTTCTAAAGCGATACCATTTCACCTATAAATATTCCCTGTTTGGGTTTATAAAGAAGGACTTAAGGTATAGATATAGATAGATACCAGTGCATAATAGTATAATCATACCTTGCAAAATCAACAATCATTCTTTAGTATTAGGTCACATTCGGTTGATGTTCAGTTTTTCCCTAATTGAACATGATTGTTGAACATGAATTTTTAAAAGATCTATTTCTAAATTTAGAATTATTTTATTAGCTCTGGGGATCTGGAAGTGGATTATGAATTCACAGTTAAAATAACTTAGTTATTTCTCAAAAGGGCCAGGAACAAAATAGAAATTTAAAATTGTTCTTTTGTATCGTTTTTTATAAATTCACCTCAACAGTTGTCCTTGTTCACTTTTTTGTGTTCTCTTTGATCTCCTGGGTTTAAAACAAATGAATAAACAAAAGACCAATTTACTAGAAGATTTAAGGTCCTATGGCTCAAAGAGCAAAGCAAAGTAAGTTTGTGTGTGCCTCCACCTACTGGCTAGGTAAGAGATTGTCTCTACAGCTGCAATGTAGACAAAGCTGCTCCAGAATTAGTTCCATATTTCTGGCAATAGATGTAATTCAGGGGCTCGTTGCTCAGCTGATGGGTTATCCGGACCCTTTCCACAGTTTTCTGACCTGCCGCCAATACAGAGTAGACAAAGGGAAAACAAATAAAATAAGGTCAGTTGACTTTGCAACTTTTGGCTACTTGGAAACAGCTCTGATAATTTTGATGAAGAAAAAGAAATCCATGACTTTCTTAATAGGTATCCACATCTGCCTTTGCCACAGACTGTTATAACCAACTCTCCTTTTTTTCCCCTTAAGCCAGAGTCATGAAATTATATGGCCCGATCAGGTTGCTTATTATGTTAGAAAACCCATCCAACTAGTTGATACCCATTTAATTACAAATAGTTTTAAGTTTAAAGCATATTCAAATACAGACACTCACAGAAGTAGAGTTTTAGAGCCAGAAAAGATTAAAGCAGTAGTTTTCAAAATTTAACATTGAAAAATCCTGAGGCGAGCTTGTCAAACAAGCTTGTACCCAGGCACCACCCCTAGATACTCAGTTTCAACAACTGTGAGTCCCAAAGTGGGACGTCAAGAGATGATTGACCTTTAAAGTAGGGGCATTACTATTTAGAGACTATGTTGTCATTTTCCCCCAACACACACAGTAGTTTGTTAGAAATTTGCATGTGTTTGCACTAGACCCATTGCTTTGGGATCCATTGCTTTGGGATTACACTTAAATTTGGACTTGTGTGCAGTAGTTTGCTGAAACATATTTAAAAATACAGGTTCGGTTTTGAAGATGGAGCTGCGTTGTGTCACCCCCACTTAAATTAAATGATTATTTCTAAGTAACACATTCGGGCTTGTCTTTAGTTAAGGCTTGTCTTTAGATACTTGAGTTAAGCTGTAAATCCTAAATTGGCTGGCCAAGGAATTTTAATTACCTTATTATAGAATGATTACATATACCACAGGGAGACTTTTGTAGTAATTAAATATGGATTTAAAATACATCTGACATGAAAACAATAGTTTGTATCTTTTAAAATAATATTAGCAGCTTGTATTTTTGAAGCTCACAAAGAGATAGACTGATAGCTCTTTTATTTTTTTTAATTTTATTTCTTTTTCTTTTTGGTCTGATGTGTAAGCTTGGGGAAGGGAATATTTGTGGAATTC